GGGTGGTGGGTTATGAAAGTGTCGTAAGAAAAGTGGGGGGGTGGGGGGGGGGGGGGGAGGGGGGGCGGGGGGGGGAGAGAGAAAAGATGGGCTCAGGCTTACAGTCGTCTCCTCCTCTCCCATTGCTATGGGGGATGACACGCACACACGCTCGTACACACATACTTATCACGCTATCTTTGTGGGGACTTTCCACTGACTTCCATTCATTTCTACTTCTTAACCCTAACCATTACATACCTAATCCTAACCAAAATTCAATTCACATCTTAGTCCTAAACCTTAACCCCTAACTCCAAAACAGCATTTCCCCTTGTGGGGACCAGGCTTCAGTCCCAACAACGTAATATGTGTCAGGAAACTTGTTCACCATGGCATGAAATGCATGGTACATGCACGCACACACACGCACGCACGCACGCACGCACGCACGGCTTCCACCAAAACAATAGGCAGCTGCAAAAAGGCAAAGTGAAGTGAATCCAGCCCCACTGCCTAACGTTCCATTCAGGATTCCACCAAGCCCACCATCAGCTATGATCAGTGAGGTAGATCTGGAGATCAGAGGGATGGGAGGGGAAGGGCGGATGATTGTGGAGGACGACAAAGACCTTGAGGAAAACAAGTGGTGGTCTGGACTCATTGAGTTGGATCCTGATGTCTGGGGGCTTCTTGACATAAATACTCCATGCCTCACTTTGATTTCTGGAACAGTTTTTCTGCACTTAGAAAATTGTTTATTAAAATGAAAAATTTTTCAGGTTGTTTTTCTATGAAGAACGCTTAAGACAAAAATATACGAGATACACAGATTTTCATCACACAAGGTTTCTAAAGCGGTCATTCGCTGCTGTTATATTTTAGCGTTCATGTAACTTGAGTTTTTCTCATTTCTTCTCAGCTGGTGTGTATTTTGCATATTGTTTTTAATGTAACAGCAGATCATTTTAGGAACTTGACCTGGAAAAAACAAATCGGTTAAATGTAACGTCTGAATATTTCTGATAATAGCAAAGAGCTCCGGGTTACTTTTTCTCCTTTCGCATGCTCCTGCCTTGATGCACACTCTTTCCAGTGTCCGCTGAGGCAGAGTGTGTTGGTGGAGACATGTCACAGCCTGACTCTCATCTGTTTCTGTGCCCTGCAAGGGTCACAAAGACCTGACACTGTCCAGCCGGGAGCTTGAGTCACAATATAAGCCACCCACTCAGTGCAGTGCGACCTGCACGCTCACTGCCTTCCTTCCCTTAAGATATCAGCACACACACACAGCATGCCGCTCCCCACACTCACTCCGGTTGGTAAAGAGGATTTGGCTTGTTGTTTTTGACTCTGTGTTTCTCTGTGTGTTCTGGGTATGTTAGCACCAACCCTGTTTTCTCACTGGGC